ATGGCCACCACAGCCTCGACCTGCTGGGCTCAGGTGATCCTTCTGCCTCAGTCTTCCAAGAAGCTGGAACCACAGGCATGTGCCACCACACCTGGCTAATTTTTTGATTTATTGTAGAGATGAAATCTCACCAAGTTGCCCAGGCTGGTCTTGAACCCATGGGCTCATGCAATCCTCTCACCTCGGCCTCCCAAAGTGCTGGAATTATAGGCGTGAGCCATCGCACCCAGCACAATACACTCTTAGAGAGTGTTTCTTTAAGGAAGTCATTTAATCTGCCTGAACGGCCTTTTGCAAATTCACTGTTTCCATCAGCTCGACTAGTGAAGTAGTGACAAATTCATCTTGTACATGAGAAAACTGAGGCTTGGAGAGTTGGAGGGACCTGCTGAAGGTCATGCCATTGGTCAGGTCAGCAGAAGGAATGTCATCCAGGGGTACCTACACACTTAATAAGCCTCCACACTTAATAAACTGGATTTCTGCCTCCCAATTCCCCCCAGCTGACAGGGCTGCCTTCTTGGAGAGAGCAGTGTGCTAGGGCCCACTTGTGCCAGATACACTGCTCTCTTTGCAGGATACACAGTGTGTTTCCAGCTGAGAGACGGTGGGCACTAGGAGGACCCGCTCCAGAAACAAAACAAACCACGTTAGCAGTGCCTGTCACCAATCTGTCCCCGAATCAAGCTCCTGCCACGCCTGGGGCCCCGCTAGCCATATGCCCATCCATGCATGGTCAGGGAGGGCCAGCGGCAGATATGCCAGCAAGTGAGCCCGGATTCTCAGCAACAGGAAGAAAGAACCCATTCCACAGCCTCAGGGCAGGGCGGCACAGGTGCCATTTCCCTGGGTCCAAAGAGCACAGGGAAGCTCTGCCCCATGGACGCCCCAAGACAAGGGTGCTCCTGGCGGGAAGATTATCCAAGGTGGGCTCCAAGGAACACAGGACCCTCCCCTTCCTGTAGGTCTGTGGGTGGTGGGAGACCCCAACATTCCAAGGTAACTTTGGTGTTTTGGGGGATGAGAGCCTGGGGCTGCTACCAGGATCGGATCGATCTCTGCCGGGAGAGAACAAATGCACGGGGCATAGTCTAGCCAGCCCTGAAACTTCTGGATATGAGGTCCCGCCACCCCGTGTAAGAGAGGGTGGGGAAAAGCACAACCCGAGCAGGGGGCAACTGGCATCCCAATCCAGATGCCCACTCGCAATCCCCCAACAGGGCCAAGATAGCCTGCCCCCTTCCCTCGCCCGCCCCCTCCTGTTATTTGGTCTCGCCCAAGCCCGTGGTCGCCCCTAGCAACATCCTCCCTCAGCCCAAAGTTGGTTTCTCCCTTCACCATCGCCCCCCCACATCCCGCTCTTGGTCTCTCCCGATCCCGCGTGGATCCCGTGCTCGGACGCCCCCGCCAGCGACCCCCGCGCACCCCAGCAGTGGTGTCGCCCGGTGCCCCCCGCGCACGCGCACGGTGGTATTTCCCGCCACGCTCCCACACCGCCCCCCCCATACCTGGTTGGTCACGTCCCCCGGGAGGCCCCGGATCAGTATCTT